CCAAAGCCAGGAGGGTGTCCGAAAATCCCTGCAGGAGTGGCTGGACCGTGTGTCCATTCATGTTCCTATGACCGTGACTGTCCGAATGATCAGAAATGCTGCAGTAATGGATGTGGACGCACGTGTTCAGCTCCGTTAAAAGGTATTTTTTTTATTTTATTAGTGTGTGGGTCAGGTTGTCCTTTACATTCACTGACACTGTTATACTTGACAGATAAACCAAAGCCCGGAGTGTGTCCGAACAAAATCCCTGAAGTAGAAAGAAAATGTTCTGAGTCGTGTTCCCAAGACAGTGATTGTCCGAAAGATGAGAAATGCTGCAGCAGTGGATGTGGACATCAGTGTAGGGCTCCATATAAAGGTAATTGTGTTAAACTGACCCATGCGTTAAATGAGACGTTCAGCGTTCATTAATCTGGTTTCTCTGTTTGTTTTACAAATAGCAAAGCTAGGAGTGTGTCCAGTCATACCCCCTGGAGGAGTGTGTATGGATTCATGCGTCGATGACAGTGACTGTCCGGGCAAAGACAAATGCTGCAGCAGTAGATGTGGACGACAATGTGGTACTTGAATTTATTTATTTTTAATATAAGCCACCATAGCCTAATTTGTGTAATATAATTCATAGCTACTTATTTTCCTGTTTTGAATACTGTTAAATTTAAAGGATTTGTTGAGTGAGGGGTAAATGACATAGGCTATTGTTTCTAATGTTTGTAAACGTTTAGTTTTACACACACCGGTATTGAATATAAATATAAGTTAAATGTTTCCAATTATGAGGTTAACAGATTTGAGTAGGATCAATTTCTCTCAAGATAACTTCTTTGGCCAGGTTACATTTTTCTCCGTGGCGTAAACTCAAGATGAGGCTTCAAAACCGTGAATGTTTTCAGCCGCCACTTTTCAACGCATGATCTGATATGCAGCATGCTACGTTTAATTTGTGCACTTGTTTCTACTTTAGATTTTGCGTCGAGTGATAAAATGTAAGAAACATTTATCAAAGTATCTGAATTTCAGCCCATAGCACCAATTCAAAATTGTGCTTTACGAAATAACGCTTCATACTGTAATACTTGAAGTAAAACTTGTTCCTATTTTGTGCTGTTTCTTAAATTGAATTAAGCTAAATGCACAGACTAAAGCTGACTATTTGTGTCCATACAGTGATGCCTGGTAGATGTTCTGGACCGCATTCGCCTCTTTGCCAAGAAGCAGATGCATGATGTGTTGCCCGACCACCTGTGCTGATTTAGTCATCGGAGAGAGTCCTCCGAGATTGATTTTTGCACACCATACTTGAGGACTTCTCAACAAATAAAAATATCTAGTAAAAAAACCCAACATGTTTCGTTTTTTGTTTGTTTCAAAATAATTCTACATGAGCTTGGGAGCGAAAGTGTACTTAATGGATTTCCAATTACTTGTGTGAGTTAAACAGTTTTGAAAGACTTTAAATAGATTTTTAGAAATGAGAAATACTGAAAGGCTCCATGTATTTATTTTTGGACTCAAGTCCTGGTGTCTGACTAATGACCGTTGAAGTGGAGAACACTGGATTTATACTGAAATTCTTAAAAGCAGAAAAACAGTGAAGAGGACTGTAGCCCTCGCTCGGTCATTAGGGTCATTGTCATTCATGATCGTTTAGGCCCACTGGCGAAGACAGCGAAATGCGAAAGCCCCGTTGTGAATCACCTTGGTTGCAGTTCCATTATAATTCCACTTGGGGTGATCGCGGGCGAGTGCAGAATGAATGGGAGTCTATGGGGCTAATTGGCTAAAAGTGTCTCTTTCACCTGCTTGTCGTTTAATCAAAATAGATTTTATTGTTGATTCCGCAAGTTCAATATAGATTATAGGCCAAAAGTCGAATGAACGAGTACTTATGTCCTTTTGATTTCTTACAGGTTAGGCCGTTGTTGGCCGGAACACGCTAGCAGTCTGCTATTGTGTGACGTCATCACAGTTTTGAACGGATTTTTAGAACCGATAAGTGAACTTAAAAAATGCAATTTTCAGCTGAGTGTATTTTCTTAGCCATCCCTTTTGAATGCAACTTTCAAATTACTTGACAAAAAATTACATCCTGAGAAAAGTGGATTTCTCGAGGTGAAACCCCATTGACTCCCATTCATTCTGCACTCGACCGCGAGCGCCCCCGCATGGACAGAGACGCGTTACTGCAGCCAGTCCAGAACCCGGAAATAACGAATTGGTTACCTAACGTAACCTCGGTTCTCTCTAGTCTAGATGATCACCATTTGCACGCGGATTTCCCACACAAACACAAAACGCTCGTCTAAACGCAGAATAAAAAAGTGATAAAGCAACGTACGCCACTTTTGCGTTTTCTCTTCAGAATCGTTTCCGTGTTTATCTAGCCTTGATATCATGAACGCATTCATGACATCAAGGCTATAGATTATTGTAATGGTCCACTGGGTGGTTACCATGGCCTGCACGCTTAATAAACTACAGCTGGTACATAATGCAGCAGCTTGACTTCTTACCAGAACCAGGAAGTATATAGAGTATAGACCATTTCACAAGATGTAAACAACACTGGTCCAGAAGCACTTCCTGTTTCATTTTGTAACTGTTTTCTTTATTTCACATGTAAAGAAAACATCTTAAAGATGTTTGTTTAACTTTTTGATTCAGTTTTAAATGTTCTGTTGGTTATATTTTATCCCAGCTTTTATGTAGTGTTAAAAAACTGAAACAGGAAGTGCTTCTGGGCCAGTGTTGTTTACATCTTGTGAAATGGTCTATAGGCTAACCCCGGTTCTGTCAACACTGCTTTGGCTTTCTAGTAAACATTGTATGCGTATTTAAGTACTGCTGATTATTTACAAAGCACTAAAATGGTTTAGCTTCTCAGTATTGAGAGAGCTCAGTATTCATGTCTATTGTGATCTGAAAATTCCGGCTAGTTGATAGGCCTAATACAAATATCAAAATCGAAGAACGGAGCAGTGAGTCTTTCTAACATTAGAGAAGCAGACACACTTTTTCTCTGTCAGGTTAAATCTAGACTAAAAACACTTCTCTTTAACCGGGTATACACATTATTACATTTCTATAATTCACGTCTGTGTACATCATAATATGACATACAATTATATTTATAGCCTACACAGGAAAAAAGAACAATAAAAAAGGCTAAATATCTTCATTATAGTTCTTCATAATACATAAAAAAGTTGTTGTTATAAGTCTGAGGGATGAAACGAGGTAAATTCATGAAGAAAAAGAGGAAAACTTAAAGGAGAAACTTTTTGGGTATAAAATAAAGGAATTAACAACATAATCAAGAGATGATGATTTTGGAGTTTCTTAATAAAAAAATATTTTATAAGAATAACACTGTTGGTCACATTAGGGTTTAAAATATAACAACTTAAATCAACCCTAAATGTATTCACAAAATAAATGGGCAGCTGTTTGTATTTAAAAAATGTATTAAAATACATAAAACATTTACAAAAGTAGCTCAACCGCTCACCAACGGCCTTGATCAAGATTATTTCCCATCAGGTTGTGTGATGGACTGTGCCGTGTTTTGAAGAAGTCCAGTGTGTTTTGTCCATCATGCCTGAATGATGTTGAGTTCCCACAGTGTGACACAGAGAGCCTGCGAGTGAGCGTCAGGGCTGTGTGTTATAGTCCATGAGGTCACTAATGCAGGCCTACAATTGACCTGAGGCCTTTTGTCCTGTTGAGACGACAGCCGAGTGTAAAAGCTGTGTGGATTGATGATATTGATCATTGAATAAGTGTTGTTCAATATTTCCTTATTCAACTCTACATGTTCTAATGTCATCTCTGGTGCGTTTTCATTTTCATTTCAAGTCAGTAAAACCCAAAGCTAATGTAAAGATGACAATAACACAAAGAATGGTTTTTAAGAAGCGAGATAGATGTTTAATTCATCACTGAAAAATGATCTCTGTGGTAATGAAGTCGTCGCTGTCGTCTCCCGCTCTCGCTGTCAGATCACGGAAGTGTTCACCGGAAGAACTGGCCCACACACTCCAGTTCAACGCCAGCGGCCGCCATATTCAGCCAATAACTAATGATCTCTGCAACGGAAGTGAAATGACTTAAACCAACCATTAAACTGTTATAAAGTTTACAATACAGTATTTTTACATAATTGATCGGATTCTTTCAGATTTATGTCACATTGCATTTGTAGATCATCTTAAAGGTAATACAAAATCATCTGCTAAATGACTAAATATAATTATTAACATGATTGGATGATGACAAACTTATTTCATATCATACAGATGTGATCAAACAAAGTCCTCTTTATGATTTACTATCAGGAACTCTGAGTTTGCAGAAATATGAAAGACAAAACTGAACAAATGAAGGCAAGAATGAACAAATAAAAAGAGAACCAAAAGAATAAACAAAACAAATAATGAATAAAAAATGATGAACAAACAAATAACTAAAATAGTAAATTAACAAACTAAAGAGAAGAGAGAGAAAAACGAAAAAGAATTAAAAAATAAAAAGGAACACGGATAAAAAAAAAATCTGTAAATTGTTACGTGAATGCTTTGCGCAAAACTGTACCACTTAATTTATAAAATGTTAATATCCAACGCACGTTTACGCAACAAGTCTGCTCTCCCACGCATGCGCCGTGGTGCTCTCGTGAACGCGCGTCTCTCCCTCTCTCTCTAGGTGCGTTCCATTCGACCGTAAGTGGACTGCGAAGTGGACTTTACAGGGTATTTCGCCATCTTAAGTGAGATTCCAATTCGAAGGGAACGAACATGTTCAGTTCGAAGGGCACTGCAAACGGCATAGGGAATAAGGGAACATCGATACATCACTTCACAGGAAGTCAGTGAAGTCCACTTCAACTGATATACCGTGTTCAAGGAGTAGGGAGCAGTGAACACTGCGTAGGGACCCTGTCGAATGGAACGCACCTTCTCTCTCGTCACACATACGAAAGTGAAAGTTAGTTTTCCGGTCGCCATTTTGAGGTGGAAACATACGACATACGACACGAAAAAAAAACAGAGCATCAAAGTGTTTATCAACGCTTAAGAATTAATTTACTTGTATCTTTATAATGTTAAAGTTGGACGATTTGAGATCCTGTATTTTGTAAAAGTTTGATCAAGGTGAGTGTTCATGACTTCGTCATATTATCTCAGGACGACATTACGTGATTGTTTGTTGATTTGCTAAAAATCTTTAAAGGGTTTCTTTCACTTCAAGGTTTCTTTTGTGTTTGGTATTGTTTGTGATTCTTCAGAAGTTTATATGTGTAAATATTCATTAGCTTATGTGGAAACATTCATAGGCCAAATCACGCCTCACAGAGTTTTAAACACCGGATGAGAGTCTGTCGAAGCGGGTCGGGGTTTGTTTTCTTTCACCCGAACATGTTCAGCGTTTCCGGTGTCCGTTATTTTCCATAAATTCTAAATCCAACGGCCGACGTGTGTGTGTGTGTGTGTGTGTGAGTGTGTGTGTGTGTGTGTGTAAAGGCCCAATGGGCGTGAGTTAACGAAGTTACACGATCCCTTTTCTCACACACTCCAGATATGTTCAGATAAATTATGAAGGTCGTTTAATTTAATAATTTAATATTGTGTCTGAATGTTTCTTCATCAGAGTCAGTGGATGAGATCAAACTCATCAGATTCTCCTGATCTTCATCATGGCTGATTCACAAGCATCCAGAGATGGAGATTTCTCTCCAGGACGCAGGTACTTTCAACTAACACTGTTAAATAATGTCTCACATCAGAAAAATATGTTTTTGACCCCCCCCCCCCCCCCCCCCCGCACAAGTTTACATAAAAATATATGTTTTTGCCTATTTTTGCATGTGTTTTTGTTTTGAAACTGACATGAAATATTAAATAAAAAGATAATAAGGTTCCTCAAAGTGCTTTAAGATGAAGGATAAATGTGTTTATATTAATATGGTTAATCTCATAACGAATGAACACAGTAATGTAGAGGATTAAACTGAATCTGTTCTCTGTTCCAGTTCAGTCCAGCAGAAGAGACAAAACCCAGAGTCCAGCTGTGTGTCTGTGAAGAGTGACCGCTCTATGGATAAGCCAATACGGTTTAAGAGTGGAGACACACGGCCTGATCTCAGGTATATGATTTCTATAAAAGATGTGCTTATAGTGACACTTCTGAATTAGACTCATAATTGATCTCAGTCAGTCTAACACTAGCAATGACATCAAGTAAATGTAAGCTGAGGTTTTCTCCACCTTTATATAATGGAGTCGGTGTAAAATTGAGCAGATTTTTCTAACCACTTTGTTTTGTATTTTACTTAGTTTTGAACCCAGTTCAGTCCAGCAGAAGAGACAAAACCCAGAGTCCAGCTGTGTGTCTGTGAAGAGTGACCGCTCTATGGATAAGCCAATACGGTTTAAGAGTGGAGACAAACGACCTGATCTCAGGTATTCATAGATGCCACCTACGTCACTACAAATAGAACGCCGCCATATTTGCGACCGACTGCCTATTTCAAACTGCCTATTTGAATGAGAGAGAGACAGAGATACCTGGAGAAAATTTCAATTTTAGGCTCCGATCCTTATTTGTTACCCCCAGTTTTCTTTAGTCCATTATTATCTGCCCCCGGCTTGCCCCAATTGGCATTTCATGATATACAGTAGAAGTAAGTCTATGATATACTAGTAAGTAGAGCTATGGCGCTCATGAGAGTCTAGGCCAGGGGTGGGCAAACCTTTTGGCTCAAGGGCCACACTGGGTTTTAAAATTTGACAGAGGGCCGGCCATTTACGTGGATCACGTAATTTACGTGGTATACTAATTTATATGCTATAGATATCCCCATTTAGCATTGTGTTATTTTGGGGTTATTTTTTTTATTTAATTTTATATTTATTTTAATTTTAGATATATTTATATTCTTTTTAAATATTGTTTATCCATAGTATTATTTAATGAGCCTAACAGTAAATTAGAAACAAAACACCAGCAAGTGTACACTTAGTAGAGTAAAAATTAGAGAAGGTTACATTAATTCAACTTTATTAAAACTCCATATGGTAATCAAATTGCACTTAATACACAAACGTCATACATTTGTGAAAAAATAAAATAAAAATAAACAAATTTACCAATTTATTTTAAGTATGATAAATAAAACGTAAAAATCTAAAGCAGATAAGAACATTTATTGAACAAACGGCAGAGACGGGAGCGTAGCGAGGCCGGCGATAAAGGTAACCGGAAGCAGTCCAAGAGACAAATACAGAGGAGCAAAGAAACTAAATATCAAATGAAAAACTAAAAAATCAAATGAAAAATAATCGGGCATACAAGTAGCCTTGTTGCGCTTAAGTCGCTGTCTGAAGGAGTGCTGAAATGTCAATGATTCAATCGTGCAAACGTTCTGTTTCCTGGGATATTAGTTATAAATTGCATATGACAAAGTACAAAAAACCGTCTGACTCTGCAGCGTGAGCTTTGCAATGCAACCGTTATTTATTCACTGTATGGTTTCCATGGTGACGCGTCATTGCTTGTCGTGACACACCGCAGCACAGCCACAACTGCTCTGAATGAATGATCTGCTTTATTCAAGTATTGCAGGAAAAAGGCAAAATGAATGTGTGATAGGGATGTTGGTTTGGTGAATGGGTGATGGAAGGAGACATGGTTGGGCAATACTGGGGCTCGTGCACTTTATTGAGTTACTTTCTCTCCCCACAGCACTTGCTCGCGCTCACACAATTAATTCAGAATATTTCAAAAACAAATTAGAGCCCGACCGATAAAGGATTTTGAAGGCCGATACCGATACAAATATTTGTTGGTTTTAAAATCCGATATTCCGATATATCGGCCGATATTTTTTAACTTATTTTTTTTTTATTTCAGAAATGCGCAACAAAACATTAACAGATTTCCCTAACATTAGTTATTTGTAGTTAACTAAAATAATATGATAATGCATCTTAAAAAGAAACTTGTTTCTTTTATTGTCACAACAGAACAGACTGATGATAGTGGCGTTAGCTAGCTTTATGGTTAGCTAGTCTATGATGAACCATAATTTAGCAATGGATTACGTCATACTGCAAATTGTAAAGCATACATTTTCAATATAACAGGCCAAGGAAACTTCCTCCGGCCACAAATTTTGTCATGCTTATTTGAGTTAAGAGAACTGATGGGGATGTTCTTTTAATTGTTATTCAAGCAATGTATGTATCGTGACCAAGTCGACGAGTGTTGCCAACAGGAACGGTGTAGAGTGCCCTCTGGTGGACAAACTATACAACTCCAACACTCGTGACATGCTTCAAGCGTGTTTCGTCCGTTTTTATTTTATTTTTGAAATATTCATTTATCGGCCATTATAACTGCCGATACCGATAGTTTGGAAAATGCCTAATATCGGCCGATAATATCGGCCTACCGATATATCAGTCTGGCTCTAAAACAAATCACATATAAAACAGTACTCTCCCCGCTGGATACAGCTTCTCAGGTCACAAATGCAGCAACACTCTTTCCACTGAAACAGCTTGCAGCCCAGCGTTTCCTCTCTCTCGACAGCGCGTGCACGAGCTCCCAGTCTCTCTCTCCCCAGTCTGTTACCGCTCGGCTCCCCCCTCGCTCTCCCGCTACAGACCGCGCTGAACCACACCCCCTCGCCATGCAGATGCAATCTTTAAAATCCCTGTAAAGTCAATTCTACAAAAAAGTTCTAAACACATTATAAATGTTGCATATGTATTGCTAAAACATATTACAAAGTCTGTGAACTGTGAAGTACTGAAATGTGGAGTTAGACCGTTGAACAGTTTTTCACCATTGCAATTTTACGGATTAATTGGGCGGGGCTAAAACAGGGCTCCGTGACGCACTGGAACCCTTGAGCTGCTGGACACCCCCCTATTTGATGACGCACAGAGTCTGATCTCCCCCTCTCCACACACACTCCCCGAGCACATTCGCATTCACCGCTCAATCGCGAGTGACTGTCAGTACTATTACTACAACTGAGCCTACAGTTTTCTAGCTAGCTATGCCTTCGACACGGACATGCATGGGCTACTACCTGGATGCGATCATGTACAAAACAGATCGGTATCTTCATTTAAATTCCCTTAAAAACGATCACATCAAGAAGAGATTTTTAGAGAGCCTAACGTTACCTTGATGACGAGCTGAGGATCACCGACAGCAACACTGTAGTGATCATTTTACACTGGATCGTTTTATAAACTTTCCTCAGAGACAACTTGGATTCACTGATAATTCACTGATAATCCGCTGTTACTGGTGAACGGGGCCGAAACGAGGATCTCCCGCCTCAGCGTTCATCCTCCCGTCTCCAAAAGCTAATCAGCTAATATCACCGTCAACAGCTTTCCCGTGAGTGGGCGTGGTTTCAGCGTAGCCAGCGGACACGCCCCCAGCGTTTGAGAGCAGAGAATCTGCTCATTTTTTTATGATTTTGATAGCTTATTTTATGTACTTCCCGACTTTTTTTATCATTAAAATTTGGCTGGGTGGCTAATTACACATTTTTCTGTTTTTTGACAAACTCAGAACACATACTTAATTTTCACTTTACAGGGACTTTAAGACAATATTTTAAATACTCGACGGGCCGGATTAAACAGCCTAACGGGCCGCTGGACCCCTGGTCTAGGCGATGTCATCATGAATGAATCTTCTGCAGCAGTTCGGCTGGCATGAATGAATGTATCTAATCCGAACAGCAGCACTGGCACAGAGACACCTGCGTCAGCACAGTCAGATACATCAGTCAAATATTATAAAAGACGGCCATATCTGTCCGAAAGAACAGATGTTCAGTTACAGAGAAGGTTTAATAATCACAAAGATCGAAATGAAAGAGTCTTCCGAGTCGAATCTTTTTGAATGATTTGGCTGCGGTTAAAAGCTATCAAGAGGTAATATAACGACTTAAATTGCAGTTTGTTCGTCACATAAAGCTATCATGTTAATAAATAACGATATTAACATAACGAACGAGTCGTATTAGATCACTTTTATGATACTTTTGTGATGTTTTTTGTCTTTTATTATTATTATTTTTTGCGTGACAGCCCCCAGTAGGCTAATGTTACTCATTCACTTTCATTACATCGACAAGAAGAGTCTCCATTAGGCCACATATTCAAAAATGTCCCTTTGTCTTCCACGGGACTTAAGGATTTTAAGGTAAACTTAAGGATTTGCACGTGAAGCTGAGTAGTTAAATAACGGCAGAATTATCATTTTTGGAAGAACTAGTCCTTTAATTGATGGCAGAGTATTTTTATAATAAATGAGCTGCATGGTGTTCCTGCAAGTGTAAATAAATCCTTTTATGGACTATATGACACTCTATACAAATTGTTATATTCTTTTATTTATGAATCTTTCTATAATGTATATAATTTCTGAATTAAAATGATTAAAATGATCTTGCTGTATACATTTTTATAATATTTAATATTATATGTTTAATTTTGAATGTTATATAGGCTATTTAATTTATTATACCGTAGTTAATATTTAATGATGTTCCTGAAAGTGTAAATAAATCCTTTTATTGTGTCGACTATATGACATTCTAACTAAATTGTATTTATATTCTTTTATTTAGGTATTTGTCTATGATGTATATAATTTCTGAATTGAAATGATTAAAATGATCTATAAATGTTTATAACATTTAATTGTAATTACCTGGAAAAACAGCACAACATATAGAAATGATGTAGAATTAAAAAAGATATACTACAGGACAAAGTGAAATTCCATTAAAATAAATCAGAACGTCCAACAGGATTATAAGAATCCAATAAGATCCAATGGAAAGAATCAACACAGTAATGTAGAGGATTAAACTGAATCTGTTCTCTGTTCCAGTTCAGTCCAGCAGAAGAGCTCAAACCCAGAGTCCAGCTGTGTGTCTGTGAAGAGTGACTGGTCTATGGATAAGCCACCATTGTTTAAGAGTGGAGACACACGGCCTGATCTCAGGTATATCATTTCTATAAAAGATGTGCTTATAGTGACACTTCTGAATTAGACTCATAATTGATCTCAGTCAGTCTAACACTAGCAATGACATCAAGTAAATGTAAGCTGAAGTTTTCTCCACCTTTATTTCTGGGGGGGCGGCATGAGTAGTTAAATGAATCTGTGCAGCGAAGGTTTTCTATTTTTTATCATTTCGATTAATTTATTGGGAATGGCGCCCCTGCTTGCTGAGAAGGAGCCGTTCACAGAAGCGATGTCAAGAGGGTCTCCTGATTAGTTCACGTATCGCGTCTTTTGCGTGCTTGAGGTCGTTATTTCAAATAGGCGCACGCACGGGAAGCTCATTATGCGCTCTCAAACTTTTCAGCACGTGCACCCAAACACTTGGGTGTTTTTCTCTTCTCTGTAAATAAATCTTTTAGCAGAGCTACAGCAAGTGTTTTTCTGTGGTGGAAATACATTAACTATTAAAACTTCTCTGTCGTTGTAGAGAGCGCAGTTAACCTTTTTTTAAGTTTAGGTAAGATAAAAGACACTCCTTTAAAACAAATCTTTAAATGTTATTAACTTGGTGAATTGATTTCATTGTGTATTAGGCTTTTTACGCTGGAAGGTGGTCTCGCCCTGGGTGTAATTCAAAGTAGAAGCGCCACTGAGCATCCCCGTAGAGCCGGGGCGGGCAGCTCGAGACTTGAAAGTATGATATACTGATCACTGAGTTTGGTAGGGGCTGCATTCTTGCAAGTAAATAATACATGATTAGACGGACAAAACAATTGTTCAGGATAACTTTCCTATGTCTGCAGGCTGATAGTCATGTTTGTTACTTATTTTTCTGGTGAAAGTGTCTTGCCTCAGGCTATAATGCAAATCGATTTTTCTAATTTGCGGATTCATCTATGATAGCTTGATATTATAATATTGACGAAATGGCTATTATTTACTAGGGGTGTAAATATGAATCGATGCATCGATTATACAGCCGACGATTCAATGCATCGATGTGTCCGCAAGAGAATCGATTAATGCGTTTATTTTGCCGCCTGTCTATTTTCAGCATCTGCTCCTACATGTGCGTGCAACCTACTGCTAAGCTGCGGGTGGCGCTAACCTCATTATTGTTGTAATTCACACGCGTTATACGCTTCACGTTCACGGGGTTCACACACACACACACACACACACACACATTGTAGAGTCTGACTTTAAAGAACAATGATATTTTTGTAATATTCTCAATTTCCACTACATATTTTCCTCTATATCTTATCAGCAATTTCGAATTCGGCACGCTCTACAGCAGCTGAGCACAGAGCGAGTCTATGGAGCGAATGTACAGGGACATTACTGCCAGATTCAAACTGCGTGCTTGTGCTATGGCTGGCACTGAGCCAAAGACGGACGCGCGCAGCGCTTGTCATAGACTATATCACAACTGTTCAGTGTTTAACCACATAATATTTATTTTAGGTTTCAGACATTTAAATATATATAATATATTATAGCAAAACAATACATTTTTAGTTTGTAAAATACACAATGGTGTCTATGGAAGCAGAAATAACAACCCATTCAAATAATTGACGACGGTTTTTATTCATATCAGATACTGTGTAAATAATTATAAAGTCAACTCTATTTTTCTCGGCCACTTACTTTCATGTATTTCGGGAGAAACTGATGAATTCCCGCACTGTAATAAATCCAACAGACAGAAATATCTGGACTGCGGCCCAAACACGGCGTCCATCTCACGTTACAGATAAAGATCTTTTTCTATCTTTTTTTTAAATGACAAAACAAGCTCACTTACACATTTGAGAATCGGAATATGAGAATGGTAAGCATCATGAAATGGTAAGCAAGTTAATATTTTGAAATAAAAGCGCTAAATCAGCAATAGAGCGCTATTTTGGCTGTGGTGAATCACGTGCCAACCAAGCATAACGCGTCACCATGGAAAAGGCCAATGTGCAAACATCGCAAAAGTGAAAGTAAGTCACAGACGCTTAACACACAATCATCTTCAAGTAAAGAAACGAAATGATCTTACCAGCGCTGTCGCCACTCTCTCTTATTGATGTCTTTGATTTGTAAATTAGCTGATGATCAATAAAATGCAGCTCATATCTGTTGCTTTTGGTGGCGTGCAATCCATTAAATCTGCATATAACGCGGGAGTTGAAGAGTTTTGCAAAAACACATTTATGTGGCCAGGTGTAAATGGAATCGGTAAGATCAGAACACTTATTATCCGGGTAATTTTAATACCAGGTGTAAATGGGGTCTAAGGTACGAGAGGCTGTGCTGTATCGTGAATAAGTTACGGCTGAAGGGTGTTGTTGGGCATAAAATAAATATAATCAAAGATTGACAGTACAAAACACACTGAGTTACAGACGCTAAAGCAAAAGTGTTACAACACTCCCTGGTGTTTCCTAAAGGTGCACAACATTTATAAGTCTGTCTGCTTTTTATTTTACTTAGTTTTGAACCCAGTTCAGTCCAGCAGAAGAGACAAAAACCAGAGTCCAGCTGTCTGTCTGTGAAGAGTGACTGGTCTATGGATCAGCCAATAAACTTCAAGAGTGGAGACAAACGGCCTGATCTCAGGTATATCATTTCTATAAAAGATGTGCTTATAGTATTTGATTTTTATGAAACTGTTAAAGCAGCACTCTGTAGTTTTTTCAACCTTTATAATATTTTTCCCAAACCCTTGAGATGGTACATCGACTTACAGTAGGTTGATTGACAGGTCTGCTAAAGCCTGACGGTGTGTGTATCGCTTTAACTGGCACTCTGTAACTTCAGGGAGCGGGTAGGAACCAGAGCACAAAAAGAACTGCAAAATTCGACTGCTTTATGGCATACGTCACTTCCCCCACTTCCTCAGATTACGACGCGAGAGCCCAACGAGTGTTTTTTCTTTTACCTCTGTATGTTGTCATGGCTGAAGCAGCGAGTAAAACCAAATGTGAAGTGCGTCAGAAACAGAGCGCGGGTGATCAGTTTACTGTTGGGAATGTGTTGTGTTGCTTCACCCCTCGCCACATCACATGTAGACTGCATTGCTTTCTTTTGAGGGCACTTAACACACTCAAGCATCCCCGTAGAGCCGGGGCGGGCAGCTCACGCCAGCTCCAGACGTGAAAGTACACTGATTACTGAGTTTGGTCGGGGCTGCATTCTTGCAAGTAAATAATACATGATTAGACGGACAAAACAATCGTTCAGGATAACTTTCCTATGTCTGCAGGCTGATAGTCATGTTTGTTACTTATTTTTCTGGTGAAAGTGTCTTGCCTCGGGCTATAATGCAAATCGATTTTTCTAATTTGCAGATTCATCTATGATAGCTTGATATAGGGGTGTGCAATTTGACGATTTTTAATCGTGGACGATTAAAATGTCTCCACGATCTGCTTTTGAAGAAATATCGTAGTATCGTGTTACAGTGCATTCTATCAGTTCAGTTCTGGCGCCTCCGTCTCTCAACTGTACAACGCGACGTAGCCTACACATGATCACATGTTAAGGAATAGGTACGGGACACTGCAATTCACAAAAGTTCATTATTTGCATAAGCCTTGCCGGTTAAACATTTAATTCACGCGCTGATGCGCTGTTCTAACATGCGCTTTCCTGACCGCATATACCCCCGACGCTCACAGGCACTAGAAGTCTGTCAAACAGCGCCTGAATATTGGACTAAGTTATCTCTCGAGTCTTATTAAGCTAATACTGTTAAATACACACAATGTTTACATAAACGGGCTATGTCTAAAGTGAAAGCAAACATTTGAGAGAATATATGGTGTAATATGCGTCTATATTAAACGCGTCGTGTGCTGGTCTAAAAGCAACAGGAATAAATAGTAGCCTACTGCCGCTTGTCCTTAAAGGGATAGTTCACAAAAAAAATAATTAAAAAAAATCCGTCATTATTTACTCACTCTAATGTTGTTCCAAACCTATATTAATTTCTTTCTTGTGCTGAACACAAAAGACAATTTTTTTAAAGGGGTGATGAACTGAGAAATCAAATTTTCCTTGAGCTTTTGACATCTAAGAGGTCATCATATTATAAGAATATCCTGTAAGTTTCAGAACTGAAAACGTCCTTGTTAGTCCAATAAAAGCTTTTATTGACACAGCCTCTAAAAACGACTCGTTTTTAAACGTGGGGAACTATGACGTCGAAGGGGTTAAAACACCACCCCCACAGAAGATGATCAACGCCTGCTTCAACACGGCCGGTTTAGCCCCGCCCACCGATTCGCGCATTACACACATAAGTAGCATACATGTACATGCTTACCTCGTGATGACAAACTGGATCGCTACAGAGCGATACAGAATATTGTGCAGCGCCTGGTTGTGGAAGAAGACAGTCGCTGCATAAGCTTCCTCTGGATTCAGGACTTCATGGATAAAATTTATTTTTAATGACGTTCCAGCTGATGAGGGTAAAACATCGTCGTCTGTTCGCTTCATTTCACTGAGGATTGTTTTGTCAACAAGACTGGATTTCAGACCGATTAAGAGTAAAGAACGGTGCTGTGCCGTCTATATTGGATCTGACAGGAATATTGTGCAACACACGGACTCTGGGTTGAACATGTATGGGCGAATCCGGTTGCCATTTGACAACATTGGACGTTTTCCCCCACGTACACGACGGGTCAGAGCCATGTATGGCTCTGCGACGGGTGAGTTAAACTCATTATAATATGCAAAACTGTTCTCCACTCGCAGCAGTGGGTGATTACTTCCAAGTCTTCAGTGCGACACGCCCATAAAAACCGACTGTTTTTTAGGTAGGCTCACAACCAGGGTACAAAATAGCCTATTACTTGTTCAATTTGATGTTTTTGAATGCAAAAACCAAGCGAACGTTATAAGTTGACCTCAGACAACAATATAATAACATTTAAAAAGCCAGTTCATGACCCCTTTAATGTGGGTAACCAAACAGTTGCTGGTCCCCATTAACTTCCAGGAGAGAACCTATAAAAAAAAACTATAAGGAGACCAGCAACTGTTCGGTTACCCACATTATTCAAAATTACTTTTATTTTCAACAGAAGAACTTATTCGGGTTTAAAACATCTTGAGAGAGTAAATTAAGACAATTTTAATTTTTGAGGGAACTATCCCTTTAGTGTTAATAAAACAACAACAAAAAAAAACACAAGGAGAAAATCACTCACTGACTGAGAACTTTAATATATCTTTAATAAGAATCAATTTATTCAGTGAAGTCTAGTGTTTTAATTTCATATTTGTTCATTTAATTACTTCAATGCTACTGCTAAATACACCTACTGCATCTGAAAAAATAAAGCACTATTTATTTAATATGAATATTAATTTGTGTAATGTTTATCTTGTCTTATTTTTTTAATAACAAAGAAAATAATGACAAAGATTTTTATCTTCGCCACTGGCCTAAATGTGTGGCTTTCTTTTTTCTTTTGTTACCTAAGTCTTTGTTTTTAACATAGGGACATTAGTTTGGCTGTAATGAACAGCCACTTGCAAAATATTAAAACCAACTTGAAAAAGAATCGTGATAAAAAATCGTGATCGTGATTTTCCTAAAAAAAATCGTGATATGATATTTTTTCCATATCGCCCACCCCTAGCTTGATATTATAATATTGACGAAATGGCTATTATCTACAAACAAACATTGAATTGAATTAGCATATCCATTATGTAAAACAGCAGCCAATGGGCTAGCGTTACTATAAAGACGCTGGCTTATAAACGTGAGCTACGCGATCTTTTGACGTTTGAAAAAAAAATAAAGCCCATAAGACATGCAGAAATAGATGCCACTGTACCTGTGATGAAGACATTTCACACGCAACACTGGAGTCTGCCCAAGATCTGACAACTCCTTCCTTCTGCAGAGTTCGGGATCGCTTGTCAACAAACACACGCGTGTATTCCCTAGTGTAACCATGACAGATTTTACCACAGAAGACAATACTGTTTCCCAACTGTAGGGGGACCCGAGAGCAACCTTTCAAAAATAACAGAATGGGGCTTTAATATACAGCAGTTTAATGAGTTGAAATCCTGTTAGTTTGAGTCTATTAATGATGATGATTGTGCTCTTGTGTAAAGCTCTATGTATTGTATTGTTAATACATTCACACACTGTAAAAGCTGTTGGTGTGTTACTCAGTTAATGACACAATTACATCAATATCAGTGTGTCTGATTCTTTACCCTCTTCATTCTGATTTAAGGTCAAATCTTCCATCCAGACCAGTTAAAAACAAAACTGTGTTCATGCCTGTGATTCAACCACAAGACTTTCATGAACGCATGTGTCCTGGTTTCAGGTAAAATGCAGGACTGTCGTTGTAATTTATGATTATTTACTCCTCTGACTTGTGTAATAATGTGTTATTGTAATCTTCCAGCCATGACTCTAAAGCTGCTGAAGTCCTCAACACACTGAGATCAAATCTGAGACAGAAGTTTGAGTGTGTGTGTGAGGGAATATCAAAGCAGGGAAAGCCAACACTCCTGAATGAGATCTACACAGAGCTCTACATCACAGAGAGTGGAAGTGGAGAGATCAATAATGAGCATGAGGTGAGACAGATTGAGACACAGTCCAGGAGAGCAGAAACAGAGGACACACTGATCAAATGCAGTGACATCTTTAGACCTTTACCTGGACAAGACAAACCCATCAGAACTGTGCTGACAAAGGGAGTCGCTGGCATTGGAAAAACAGTCTCTGTGCAGAAGCTCATCCTGGACTGGGCTGAAGGGAAAGAGAATCAGGACGTCCAGCTCATATTTCCACTGGCTTTCAGAGAGCTCAACTTGATGAAGGACAAAACACTCAGTCTTTCAGATCTTCTTCATCGCTTCTTCCCTGAAAGCAGAGAAATGGCCATATCCAGTGATGAGTATAAAGTGCTGTTCATCTTTGATGGTCTGGATGAGTGTCGTCTGTCTCTGGATTTTCAGAGCGATGTGAGGTTGTGTGATGTGACTGAATCAGCCTCAGTGGACGAGCTGCTGACGAACCTCATTGTGGGGAATCTGCTTCCCTCGTCTCTCATCTGGATCACCTCCAGACCAGCAGCAGCGGATCTCGTCCCCTCTGAGTGTGTCCATCGAGTGACAGAGGTACGAGGCTTCAGTGACACACAGAAGCAGGAATACTTCAGGAAGAGGATCAGTGATCAGAGTCTGGCCCACAGGATCATCTCACACCTGAAGTCCTCAAGGAGCCTCTTTATTATGTGCCACATCCCAGTGTTCTGCTGGATCTCAGCCACTGTTCTAGAGGAGATGTTTAGGAAATCACGGAAAGGAAAGCTTCCCAAGACTCTCACTCAAATGTACACACACTTCCTGCTCATTCAGACCAACATCAAACATGAGAAGGACTATGAGAAGAAAGTGAAAGATGAAGACATGATCGTCAAACTGGGGGAACTGGCGTATCGGCAGCTTGTGAAAGGCAACCTGATCTTCTATGAGGAAGACCTGAGCGAGTGTGGCATTGATGTGGCAGAAGCATCAGTTTACTCAGGATTGTGCACTCAGATCTTCAGAGAGGAGTTGGGCTTGTGTCTGGGGAAAGTCTTCTGCTTTGTTCATCTGAGCATTCAGGAACATCTAGCAGCTCTATATGTGCATCTCTCCTTTATCAACAATAACATCAATGTGTTTGACCAGATTACCAAACCAACTAATGGAGGCAAAGTGTCCCTATCTGATCTCCATCAGAGAGCTGTGGATGAGGCTTTACACAGTAGAAATGGGCATCTGGACCTTTTCCTTCGTTTCCTTCTGGGTCTGTCAGTGGAGTCTAATCAGAGTCTCTTACAAGAACTAAAGACACAGACAGCAAACCGCTCTCACAACAATGAGGAAACAGTTGACTATATTAAAGAGAAGATCAGGGAGAATCCCTCTCCAGAGAAATACATCAATCTGTTTCACTGTCTGAATGAACTGGGGGATCTTTCTCTAGTCAACGAAGCTAAACCTCATACGGGCCCTGGAGGATTAGGTGCTGTGAAACTCTCCTCGTCTCAGTGGTCAGCTTTAGTGTTTGTGATGTTGTCCTCAGAGAAGACACTGCAGAGGTTTGACCTGTGGAACTTAATTGGAGGCAGTAATGATGGGTAAGTAACACTGAGTGCAATCATTACAGTCTAAAACATTATGAAGAAAGAGAAACTCAGAGATCAGAGGTGTTTAAATCACGGGCTCAGACTGATTTCTGGGATATTGTCCATAATTTGCGGGTGTTTCTCAAACCGTGGCTGTCCTAGTAAGGCTGCATATCTCGACTGCCACGTCATCAAGCGCCTCTGAAGGCCGTCTCAGTTTGAAGGATCTTTGTGTGTGTGTGTGTGTGTGTGTGTGTGTGTGTGTGAACAAGACGAAGATGAATGAGGTGTGCTATCAGCATCTCGTGTGTGTGTGTGTGAGTGTGGGTGTGTGTGTCTGTGTGTGTGTGTGTGTGTGTGTGTGTGCGTGCGTGTGTGTGTGTGTGTGTGTGTGTGAACGAGATGAAGATGAATGAGGTGTGCGATCAGCATCTCGTGTGCACTCGCTCCTATGATAGTGGCGGTGAGGGAGGAACGAGACGAAGATGAATGAGGTGTGTGTGTGTGTGTGTGTGTGTGTGTGTTTGTTTGAGTGTGCGCCAGTGCTGCTTCCCCAGCTAATGTGACTTTATCATTATTACTTCTCATTTCAAAAACAACTTGTTTAACACAAAATACTTCTTGATTCATGAAAATATACACATCTGACAGGACAAAATCTGATATGTGAGAATAGTGTTGTAGTGTAAATGTAGACTAATAGACCTTGACAAACGACATTGACAAGAAAAAGAGAAAACAAATCTGTGTTGCTGAATACGAGACTTCTACAGTTATAGACACTAAACAACTTTAACACTCGTCCTTTATAAAGCAGTGTTTAGTTAAAAAGGTATAATGTATTATTTACTTATGATATGAATTATTATTGTTAGCGTTATTAATTGTTTATTTTTTATTTTCTATTAGTGTCCCAGAAAACACAGGAGATGAAGTTCTTCAGAAGCTGATGCCTGTGGTTACAGCAACTAGATGCGCTTGGTAAGTAACACTGAGAACAAGCATCACTGCTAAAACATTACAACAGTTCTTACTTAAACATTATAAATTATATATTATATACAATTATAGAACTGTAAAAGCAGGCTGTTTAGTTCACATGGATAAGATTTGGGAAAATAAAATAAATCCTGTTTTCGATGACTGAAATTTTTTTAATGATATTTGTTTATATCATTAAAAAACAATTATTATATATTTCTAATAAAGGGACTGATGAGATGATCTTTAAGTTTATTCAGCTCCGTATGGAGAGGGATAAGGCTTTCACAGACGTGAGTTCCTGTTTCCGGCGTGACGATCGAGTCTGTCCCAAAAATACCTCTCAATGCACCCTCGCGGACTCGCTCTAAGGGCCCTATAGGTCTGCACTACATGACGTCACCGAAGTGTGGACTCTGAGAAAGTCCACAAGTTCAGAGTGTGCCATTTGGGACAGGGCCAGAGAGTTACCCTGACGGCACTCGTGAGAAAATGAAAATTACCTACATAATGAAAATTAGCTACATAATTAAATTCACAAATATGACTACATTTAAACATTATTCAAATACATAGACTACTGAGTTACTCAGGGGCGCAACTACCCAGTGTCAGAAGTGGACCTCTGTTTCTCTAGGGAGGTTGGGGGGCATGCTCCCCTGTAAGACAATTTTGTGTTCTTTAAAGGTTAAATTCAGCAGTCTGGTGCGCTTTGAGAGTTCAAAATTAAAAGCTCCAACCCATATTCAGGGTGCAAATTAAACAAAGAAAAATTCAAACCTTAGTGTCTGTCTACATTACACTACTAGGGCTGGGACAATGCATCTATCTCCAGATTCGATACTTTGGTGCCGATACGTTGCGATTCTACAATATTGCGATTCGATATTGAAATGTAGTGTGATTTTGTTTTTAACACTAGACTATGGGGAAAAGTTCAATCATACACTTATACAGACTGTACATGATGTGTAAGATGAGTCATATTTACTAAAACAATTCATCACATCTATGAGTTTTATTTCAGGAGCATCATACAGTTCTACATTCTCTTGAATAAATAATTCAATAACAAATACATTTTTAAGTCACTTGTCGCCACCTAGTGGAGAAACAATGTAATGGATAAATGTGTTGTTTTAAGCGGCAAGTTTCTTTTAAAAGCTGATTCACTCTATTGTGATCGCTACCGTAGACATCAGTGTTTATATTTGAGCTTTAAACTTTTACGCAAAGCGCGTGAATCAACTTTTGATGCGCTCGACCCAAGTTTGAATCCGCCTTTTGCCGAAGTCTCTTCTCCCTTTTCCCAACACATATGAGAAGATGTAAAATGTATAACCTAACATAAAGGTCTCTAGCGTTATGTTTTGCCAATGAACTAATATCGAAACCATGATATGGCTTTTTTTCCGTTATAAAACAGCACAAGACTTTAAGAATAGGCATCAGTGCTGGGTGAATTAAAGAAAAGTGTACACTTTGCTCACGCGATCATCATGGTCATCTGGTGTTTTCTCCTAAATACAAGTTCAAGGGTTTATTTCTTGCAAGTGTAGAAATAAGGACAAAAGTATTTAAATGGGGGGCATTTTAAAACGGGGAGCATGCCCCCGAACCCCTCTAGAGGAACAGTAAATCAGTAAAACTGTAAATGCTATATTAAGGGTCGACCCAACATAGTTTTACAAATTCATATAAAGAACAACCATTTATAAACTTTACTCCAGTATAGTACAACAAAGTTAATTTTAAGTCAGTAGAACTGTAAATGCCATATTAAAATGTCCTTGGACAAAATATACATTTGGCCTGCTTAAGAGGGGGCCTACAAGACATTGTGCCCAGGGGCCTCTGAACTCTTAATCCGGCCCTGTTTAAAAGACCTTTCGTGAAGCTGTTTAATAAACTCTCTCTGGGTCAGCAGCAGCGCCAACACAGATAGATAACGAAAAGTTAATCCTCTGTTGGAGCAAGAGTGGCGAACTTCTGTCAACCTCGTCTGTAAGCAACAACAAAAATAAGTAAGGGTTGATGCTCGACGAGGTGTCCATTAGCCGCGTTTCCACTGCCGGGCCAGGGCCGGGCCGTGCTAGTGCGTGCCAGGGCCAGTCGCGTTTCCACTGTCACTTCCGGGGCTTGATCGGGGCTTCCTCGGGGCCAACGGCCAGGATTTCTGGCCCGTCGAATACCTTGGGCCAGAGGGGGCCAGCTCGGGCTAGAGGCGTGCTCAAGGTAAAAGGCGGAGTTTATCGGTGTTATGGAACGTTATGATCTGAAGCAAGATGCACATAGGGGTGTCCATGTTTAACCGATTAACCGTTTAAAATTGCATAACATTTGAACTGTAGGCCTATGCCAAATGCTGCGCAACAATATATAGGCTATATATAGCTACATCGACGAATTTTCAGATATTTGTTTGATTTTTTTGCCCCTTAAACATTTAAAATATTTGACAAATTAATATGAAAAAAAATATATATTTTACTGGTTTTCTGAGGCCAAATTAGAACCTGGAAATGATATTTTCCCCGCAGTGCTGAATGAGAAGAGCCGTAACCACAGCCTACAGAAAGGGGATTTATGGGTGATTTATAGGCTATAATAAATGTGTCTGATAATAAAATAATATAAAATAACGAGGCATTAATTGTTTATTAATAAACTATTGTTTTCTAAATGATTTTCGGCTAAAAACATATCTCCATCTCCGGATGCACATTTAGAGAGAAATTAAGCTACATAAACATAGAAGATATTGGCTTTCGATTCGAATTTGTTCGTTTTAAATTGGACATTTAAATGTCCAATTTAAAACGAACAAATTCGAATGCGGTGGCTGTTTCAGGTCTCGCGCTTCAGTTCACGGAGATCATGAAGCGCGCCTTGATTAATTGTTAAAGCACAACGTTTTCTTGTTATAAATAAATTTATTTGCGAATAATGTATTATTATTTTCTGTATGACCAGAAATGAAAGAGTATTTTAAGTTGTTTCCACTGAAAGAAATGCAATGAAACTGTTCACATGGGCGTCTCGCAGCCATCAGTGCGTGCTCCACACACACTGGATATGCGCTGATATTTGTCAAAAATATTGTGTTTATTTGTGCTCTATTCCTTTTTTGGATAAAGGCGTCTTCTACATATGCAGCCTAATAAAATGTTACAATAATGATGATGATGGTTATTATTATTATTATTATTTGCAGACACGGAGTTTTTGTGAAATGGACGTTTTGCTTATTTTCAATTGGCAATTTCAGTTTGAAGGGTGATGGAAATGGGGCTTTAACTGCTCCGTACTTGCTGCGTTTTATTTCTATAAATTAATTTCGTTTCAAATGGGGTCCAATCAGTTATTAAAGGTGTTAAAAAATTAACTCCGTATCTCGAGGTTGCGGCGCGCACACTATATGCACCGAGTAGCTATTAACCGATGGGCCTCGGTTAACGATTAATGAATAACTTGAAAACGTGCCCGCAGCCCTACTTGTTATATCGCGCAAAAAATCGCTGCTTGAAATGGAGAATCGCCTGTACTGGTCTCGGGACACTATTGCAGCCACTACGGCAGTTGAGTTAATATACATGCTATCTTCCTAATTTAAAAAATAAATTAATTCATAATACCCGCTGAAATTGGTTGGGTTTTATGACGTTTGATCCTGAAAGGCGTGTTAGGGGTGGGGTCTGGGGCAGCGCTGTGGGGCTACTGGCCCGGCAGTGGAAACGCAAGCCCGGTGCTTGAGGCCCGAGGCCACTAGCTCGGCCCGGCTCGCTGTTAGCTCTGGCCCAGCCCTAGCCCGGCAGTGGAAACGCGGCTATTGTCAGGTTTTAATGGACGACGGCGAGGCGTGAACCGGCCGACGCGCAGCTGAGGACTGTTGCCTCCGAGTCCGCCGAAGTCCATTAAAACCTGACAATGGACACCTCGGAGGGCATTAACCCGCTTATACCATGGTCACTTGCCAAATAAAACATTTTTAAAACATTAGTTTATATTTTAATTAGGCTAAATCTAGTTTTTACACATAATAACTTGCCTGACGGTTTATTTAGCAACCAGAGATATTTATAGTCCGCTCAGCTTGTAGAGCCCTTCAGGTTCAAAAATGCATTTTTTTTTTTTTTCATGAAACACAAAGGTAGGCATAGTTATTTTTTTTTATTACACATAATAATTATAAGGCGGTTGATACCGGCTCTCAGGCTCCTTATAGGCTTGAAACGCTGTACTCTCCTCCTGCCTTGGTTGTCTGGACAGCTGCGTAAAACTCCCGCAGGGTCTCATTCAGAGCAGCAGCGGTGTCATTTTCAAAGCTGGAGTCCATTTCTTTTTGAACAATAAAGTCTCTGAGTGTATTTACTGCCCATTTTGGATTTTTTTTTTAGTGTTGATCTCATCTTTTTCGTCTTCTATTTGATTAAATTCTCCCGGTGTTAACTCTTTGTGTCATTTCTCCGTTTTATTTAAATTTTTTTCTTTCTTCGGCAGCATACCAGTCGTCAAAGTTGTCATATTCTCCATAAATGTTAAAAGAAATAACGAAGTCGCTCATTGTTGTATTAGGCTATAATATCTAACGTTAGATGTTTGTTTTGATAGAGCATGTGACTGCCTGTTGCTATGGTTACTCACAGCTGTTGTAGGCAGCGCATTTATTTATAAATTTCGAATGGTAAACAGGCAGTTTCACCAGAACTACTTTACTAGGTGTCCTGTATCACTTTTTAACGGACACCCTGCAGCCAATCAGAATCGAGTATTCACCCAGACCATGGTATAAAGTAATTTTATTTGAATCAATATCAATTCTGGAATAAATACAAAAAATATTTTAAAATTGTGAACCAGAAAATTGTGATAGTTATGTGAATCGATTTTTTTTTCCCAGTCCTAACCACACACACACACACACATTCTTTAAAATGTTTACAAATACACTAAACACACACACACACACTTAATCTCACTGTGATGAAGTGAATCTTGGTTCAGTGTGGGTGATGGAAG